GCGATTCGCGCAACGGGATTTCTAATGATTTTTATTTAGTTCACTTCAAGTCTAGTGAACTAAACAACCTTAAGGCCTTAGAAAAAGCTAGCCTTATGCTCCATGTCCGAGTGAAGTGGGAACACTTCAGGAAGACTGGAGGAAATTTCCAAAACCTCACTCAGTGCCGTAAGTGCCAGGGATGGGGTCACGGAACTAAAAATTGCTACATGCCAGCTAAATGCATGAATTGTGGTGATTCCTCTCACGCAAAGGACGACTGTCCTGTGAAGGAAGATCCTAAGAAATTTAAATGTTCAAATTGTGGTGAAAACCACAAATCCAATTTTTGGGAATGTAAGACTCGCAAAGCGATCCTACAATCTCGTTCTAACCGACAGGTAGGAAACGCTCCACGTTTCCGACCAGGTACAAATTCCTCTGCTGTTAACAACGGTCAGCGAGGAACAAATTCTACATTCGTACCCGTAGGTACAAATATCACCCCTGCTTCAAATGTTTCATCTGTACCTACTCCCCTCGCTGCTAACAATGTTCAGCGAGTTAATGGAGCTACCTATGCTGCTATTGCAGCGGGTAGAAATCAAAATACTAACCAACGTTCTAACGGAAATTTTGACAATTTTGACTTAGGAAGCATTACTGCTCCTAAAATGGAATTTTTACAGAATTCATTAATTGACATGATTTCTGATATGCTTAAATCTAACTCCATGTTTGATGCTATTCAAACTGGAGTAAAATTTGCAAATAATATTGTCATGACTTTAAAATTCAGTAATGGATTTTAAAGCATTAAACATTTTAAATTGGAATGCTCGATCTCTTAAAGATAATGAAGACGAGCTATTTAACTTTTTGCGAGTTCATAACGTGCATATTGCCGTTATAACTGAAACGTTCCTTAAACCTGACCATAAGGTTAAGAAGGACGCAAATTACTTTATTTATAGAAATGATCGTCTTGATGGACCCTGTGGTGGCGTTGCCATCATTATTCATAGACGAATCAAGCATCAAATTCTTTCTTCATTTGAAACCAAAGTTTTTGAAACATTAGGAGTTTCTGTTGAAACAAAATTTGGACAACTTACGTTTATAGCTGCCTATTTGCCATTCCAATGCGTAGGCCAGCAAAAGAATTTTCTCAAGGGTGACCTCCAGAAACTTACCCGTCATAGGTCTAAATTCTTCATTATTGGTGATTTTAATGCAAAACACCGCTCATGGAATAATGCTCAAAGCAATTCCAATGGTAATATTCTGTTTGATGATTGTTCTGCAGGTTATTACACTATTCAATATCCAAACAGCCCAACATGCTTTTCTTCTGCAAGAAATCCCTCAACTATTGATTTGGTCTTAACTGATTCATGTCATCTTTGTAGCCAATTGGTTACCCATGCTGACTTCGGTTCTGATCACCTTCCAGTAACTTTTGAAATATCCCAAGAAATAATTTCTAATCCCAACAGCTTTAATTTCAATTACCATAGGGCTGATTGGGAGCAATATCGAACATTTATGGAATATAACTTCGATCCAAACATTCCTTTGCAAACCAAAGATGAAATTAATTATGCTCTTGAATCTCTGACTACTTCTATAGTTGAAGCAAGAGCTGCCTCAGTACCAAAATGCGAGGTTAAATTTGATTCAATTATAATAGACGACGATCTTCAGCTATTGATCCATCTTAAAAATGTCCATAGGAGACAATATCAAAGAACACGCGATCCTGCCATGAAAGTTATCTGGCGGGATTTGCAAAAACAAATTAAAAAGCGATTCTCTGCCCTGAGGAACAAAACTTTTGAAAATAATGTTTCTAAATTAGACCCGAGTTCCAAACCCTTTTGGAAACTCACAAAAATTTTGAAAAAACCTCAAAAGCCAATTCCAGCGCTTAAAGAAGGTGGTAAAATTTTGATCACAAATTTGGAAAAAGCTCAGAAACTTGCTAAGCAATTCGAGAGTTCCCATAATTTCAGTTTGGGTCTTACTAGTCCTATTGAGAATCAGGTTGCTCGGGATTTTCGGAATATTTTCTCTCGGGAAAATATTTTTGATGATTCCTGGGGGACTGATTTGGACGAAGTAAGGTCTATAACTAAAAAATTTCAAAATATGAAAGCTCCAGGTGATGATGGAATTTTCTATATCCTCATCAAAAAACTCCCAGAGAGTACCTTGTCTTTGCTGGTAAAATTATTTAACAGATGTTTCCATTTGGCATACTTTCCTGATAAATGGAAAAATGCAAAAGTTGTTCCAATTTTGAAGCCGGATAAAAATCCAGCTGAAGCTTCTAGCTACCGTCCAATAAGTTTGCTTTCTTCAATAAGTAAACTTTTTGAAAAAAATAATTTTGAATAGAATGATGCTTCACATCAATACGAACTCAATTTTTGCAGATGAGCAGTTTGGATTTCGCCATGGGCATTCAACTACTCATCAACTCTTGAGAGTTACCAATTTAATTCGTTCAAACAAATCTGAAGGCCACTCAACTGGAGTTGCTCTTCTAGACATAGAAAAAGCATTCGACAGTGTTTGGCATGAAGGTTTGATTGCTAAATTGAAAAAGTTTAATTTTCCACTTTACATTATGAAATTAGTTCAAAATTATTTAACTGACAGAACTCTGCAGGTAAATTATCAAAATTCCAAATCTAATCGACTACCTGTTAGAGCAGGAGTTCCTCAGGGTAGCATTCTTGGGCCTATATTGTATAACATTTTCACTTCGGACCTCCCTGATTTGCCTCAGGGTTGCCACAAATCTTTGTTCGCTGATGACACAGGCATTTCCGCTAAAGGAAGAAGTCTTCGTGTTATTTGCAGCAGACTTCAGAAAAGTTTAGATATTTTCTCTTCTTATTTACAAAAATGGAAGATTTCTCCCAACGCTTCCAAAACTCAACTTATAATATTTCCACATAAGCCCAGGGCTTCCTTTTTGAAACCTAGTAGTAGTCACATAGTCACTATGAACGGAGTTCCAATTTCCTGGTCAAACCAAGTGAAATATCTTGGATTAATACTTGACCAAAAATTAACTTTTAAAGATCACATTGAGGGCATTCAAGCCAAATGTAACAAATATATTAAATGTTTGTATCCTCTTATAAACAGGAAATCCAAACTTTGCCTGACGAATAAACTTCTAATATTTAAACAAGTTTTTAGACCGGCCATGCTTTACGCTGTGCCAATATGGTCTAGTTGTTGCACTACCAGGAAAAAGGCACTTCAAAAGATTCAGAACAAAATTCTGAAGATGATTTTGAAGTTGCCTCCCTGGTACAGTACTACCGAAGTACATATAATTTCGAATGTTGAGACTTTAGCACAAATGTCCAACAAAATAATTAATAATTTCCGGCAAAAATCGTTACAATCCTCAATTGCAACGATTAATTCCCTTTATACTTAGATAAGATTTAGTTTTAGTTATTTAGTTTTAAGCTATCAATTGTTATACTGACATGCAGGTTTAAAAAAACCTGTTTAAAATACTGAATTGCCAAGACAGGAACAATGTAAAAACACTTAGATATATATCATAACAATTAAGGCTGGTAAGTTACTGTAGTAACTGGAGCACCTAGGTTAAAAATGAAATGTAATTTATTTTGAATTTGGAACAAATAAAGAGTTAAAAAAAAAAAAAAAAAAAAAAAAAAATAATAATTGAAATTTCAAAAGAACTAAAGTTGAAAAGACGCATTTGTGTCACTTGATAAAGAACATTAAAAGTAAAAAAAGACGTAGTTAGTTCTCCGTCAAGTCAAAAAAAGGCCCCTTCCGAAGGAAGACGTGACCAGAGATTTTTATGCCTTAGAAAATTTCCACCGACCTCGACTGGAATTGAACCCAGACCTATTAAGGTGAGAAAGCAGTCACGCTTTGCACTACACCCCCGGCGCCGGCTGAACAAGGTCTTCAAGGAATGATTTTGGTTCAGTGCTCGAAATTCCCAGCTGTCAGCGACGGCTGCCAATTTCGGATGTCAAATATGACGCCAATTGCTAATTTTTCTCTGAATTGGCAATATTTCCGAATCCGACTGCGACTCCTCAAGTCCACAGCTCTGCTCGGAAGGGAACCAATTTCATCTAAACCATTATGATTTCCAAGAAGCTGGGTGTTTGTTGTTAGCATTTACCCCCACCCTTTGCAAATGGCTGTATTTGGCGCGAAGGGGGTGCCAAGGTCATATCGCAAACGAAGGCGTTGCACTTGTCATGCATCCACGGTTCCAGCACTGATGTCATCATTTGCCATTCGGTGGTTTCCGCGCGACAGGTGAGAAGAAAGGAATGTCCTTAACGGGAATGGCACACGCGGTGAAGCCATCACCCGTCATCGTTTGTTGTTCTGCACGCTACATAGCTACATACTACAGACGAGCTGTTGGCACTGCGAGAGTGCCAGGAGAAAAAACGAGCGTAAGTTAGTAGTAAAAACATTTTCATTATCAAACACGTACCGCACCCACACACATTGCTGAGATGGAGGGTTCTGCTAGTGAGTGTGTAAGTATGACGATGACGCTTGCCGCGGGATAAGGCACCGACGACAATACAAACATTGGAGAAAAAACACCCGCCAACGGTAAAACTTCCATTGATAGTAAAGAGAGCGTCTACAACGTCGCCGTGGAAGGGAGTAAACCACACGTATTTGTAAGCTCGTTGTAGGATGCTTTGAGAGAACGTGCGAGAAGAGCATCTTTTCCGAGGCAATCGTTCTGTTCTCCATGGAAAGAATGAACTTTTCCCCTTTTCCGGTTCATGAGGTACCTTTCTATGTGTGAAGGTTTATTTTATGATTTTCCACTGTGGGAGGAACAATGAAAAGCCTAGGCGGAGAGAAACTTTTCCGAATTGATTCTTCCGGAGAATGGGAGAGAGCTTGGATGGAAAGCAATAGTTGCAGCCGTATATTAGACACTTTCTTCCATAAGTTGCCATCAGAGTCGAGTGATTATTAGTAACGCTAGCAGTGTGGCAGGAAATATACGGTTGTTACATAAAAAAAAACGGGAAAAGGAAAATTGTTCTTCTGCTGTTCGTTTGTACACATAGTTTTTGTCAGTAAGTGCACTAATTTTTCGCAGACGCGCTCTGAGTGTGTGATCAAGGCCGAAATAATCTACGATAAATCTCAAAATCAACAAAGAAGAGCTACCAAAGTGAAATCTCTGCTCAAAATTCGTGAGCTTTGAAGTGAAATTTGCGATTCTTTCAACCGAGTGCTATCCCTCGATTGGTGTTCCTTTTTTCCTTGCGGTGTAGATGAAGGAAAAAGGGGGGAGGTTTTTGTATTGTGTCCGTGAAAATGTATTATCGAAGGCTACCCAGCGTTCGCCTTAGAATGCTGTAGAATAATCTGTCGTCGTGGAAGTATATTTCTAATGCCCTTGGATCAGGGTGGGAAAATATGAAAATCCGTCGCAGCGTGTTGTGATGTGAGGAAAAATCTCCAAGAATACGAAGAAAAGTGTACGGATGCTTGTGATCAATAAACACACAAGGAAGAGAAAATAGAATCAGCAGGGCGCTGTGTAGCTGTGTGAGCAGGGTGGAAAATCTTATCCTTTTTTGGTTCTGACAGCTCAGACAACCAGAAAACAACAAGGGCCTGGAGCGGTGGCGGGAGCAGCAGGAAAGCCGTCTATAGTTAAGATTTAGGTAAATAAATCAGTTCCTAAATTTGCGTTGGTTTCGACGGAAATCACGCCTAGATAACAAATGACTGCCCACAGGAGTCTGGTACGGATGAGTCCCGCAACTGAACGGAGAATTATCCTTGATTTTTCCTTCACTCTCGATTGCGTGTCAAAATTCCTTTAGCAAAAGTTCTCTCTCCAACCATGTGTGTATATACGAACGAATGCCAGTCCATGTCCCTACGCCTGACTGTGCACTCAGGTCATGAAGCATTCTGGTATACATATACCTAAATATGTACATATACGTGAAGTGCACGAGCACGGGGGGTTGACGGATTTGATTGAGGAACATATATGAACATATTTTGCTTTGCGTAAAGCTTCATTAGCTTCCTTCCCGTTGATTTTTGTATGAACAGATCTGTATTCGTAAAAAGAGAAATTTTTTTTTTTTATTATTATCAATATTTTGAGCAAAGAACAAATTGAAGTTAGTTGGGTTGATGCTGTTCAAATTGTTTATCTCATAGCAGATATGCGTGTTTCGTTCTCGCCTCGTAAACACCGGGTATGTAAATACGGGGGAAGTTTTTAAGATGTGGATGAAATTCAAGTGTTTGTCAATTTGTAAACAAATTTAGGTGAGGAAGCTGGTCCAGGGAGTATGCGGGTTCAATAACTTGCGTGAGGCTAAGTTTATAAAATATGTCTTACATTTTCTAGAATGTGGAATCACGTGTTGAATTAAAAAAATGGCTGTGAAATTGGGGGGCTATGCTCCTGAACGTACACAGCAAAAAATAAACTTTAATATTATATCCAAGAGGATGCACTTCAATCATGTGTAAAATCTCATGTATTTTTTATGGCCACAACAATAAACAAATGCAGTAAAAGCAGCGTAATGCCAGTTCATGCACTGTATTAATGATAATTTTGTCCTTTTACACCATATTTTCGACACGATTGAAGTGCATTCACTTTGATGTGATATCAACATTAATTTTTTGCTGTGTATCCTAAGCTGAACTTGCTGGTGATGTTAGATAGCTGATCGTCTCTCCATCTTCGCAGCGGCGCTGTCAATATTTGTGTTCCTGATGACGGCATTACACGTGCCCTCATCTTTACACATTTATTGTACAACATTATTCGTGTTGATGAACACTCCGCTAACAGTTTGCATCTCCCTTCTTATTGCCTCAAATATTAGACAGAGGGGTGACTTTGTGTGTCCAAAACGGTGCAGATAGTTCCTGAAGCAACGGAATTATGGCAGTTGAAAGTTGACCTCTCACTGTTCGAAAAAGTAGTGTAAATTTCTGTTACTATGATCACAGACAAACAGACGTAATTCTTTCTCCTCAATCGTCGTACGCGAATTTTAAAATTATTAGTGTCGCGAATTCCTCACCACAGCGTTGTTATCGGATCACTTTGACGTTTCTATACTTTCAATCGATGCAATTGTATGCAACACTGTTTGAGACTTTGACCTTTTTTCCGAGAATAGCTCACGGGATGTCGTTAGTGAGCTTCATGACGATATTTTTAAGGATTTAAAAAAAAAGTTACGTCTGTTTGTCTGTGCAAGTTACATTATAGGTCGTGTAAATTTATGAGACATTTGAAATATACCCAATATTCTATAAAACCATCCATCTTTGATAGCAACATTTCTTACAAGTTGCTAGTTTACGTGAAAAGTAAGTTTACATGCATGAATATTTGCATGCATGGATGTTTACATTACCAGTATAGTTCTGATTTTTTTTCTGTGTTAGTATTGATGAAGATACGCTGACCAGAATACCCCTCTTGCTACTGCTTGGTCCAGAGTTGTTCGGCATGATTCTAACTGTCGTTTGCCACTGTCCCCCTCTGTTGAATTTTATCCTAATCGGACAAAAAGTTCCGAAGATACGAATTATTATGTAAATTTTAAGTACCCCAGGGAAGCTGCCAGACTCTTTCATAAGTTATATCTCATTTGCTGCATCAAATCACATGAGAATGCAAAAATAAGATCATTGACGATTAGGTTGAGTAGGATCACGTTGGCCACATACGGACTTGTTTCGGGTACCTTCGGGTATCTGACATGAGTCAAATCCCATCATGCGATCAGGATTCGCGGGCCTTTCTTAGCTCAGTCGGTAAAGGCACAGCTACAAAGCAAGACCATGCTGGATGTGGCTGGGTTCGACTCACGGTCCGGTCTAGGAATTTTTAGGCTTGCAAAATTTTTCGACTTCCCTGGGCACTTGGTACAGGCATCGAAAGCTCTCAATTAATAACTGTGGAAGTGCATCTAGAACACTAAGTGTTGAGAGCACGCAATAAGCTAATATGCGATAAGCAATAAACTTGAAATGCGAAGAAGAAGAGAAGCGATCAGGATTCACCAAAAAGATCATTAGCGACCAGGTTGAGTGCCCAGGACAACAATGGCCATACCCGGACATGTTCCGGGTACCCTCAGGTGCATTTCCAGAATCTAGCCAAATGCCACAAAGTGACACATAAAATCTCATGAGGATTCACAATATCATTATTGGCGCTTAGGATGAGTTCCCAGGACCACACTGACCGCATCTGGACTTTGGCCGGAGGAATGACCAGAGTCTGACATGTGATGTGAATGGAACCCACAATCAGTGCAAGGATTACCAATGTCTGCAGATACTTTACCGGTTGTAAATAGCAGGGTGAATCAACTTCATTGAAGACCTTTGGAAGACAAAACGACCAGATGTCTATCTGTAATCACGTGACAAGAGACTGGCAAATCCACGAACCCTCGTCCAGTCAACAAATCCTTTGATCCCCTTAAATCACATTATTGGCAGATCATCGGCTGGGGCCTGAAAGGCCACATCACGCACTTTGTACGGAATTTCCTCCTTGATCGTACCTTCCAGGTGACTGTCGGGAACACTCGATCGGATCCGTTCCCCGAGGAAACAGGAGTGCCCCAGGGATCCGTCATAGCGGTTACGCTATTCCTGGTGGCAATGAACGGGGTGTTCAGCCGACTGCCCAAGAACGTGCACGTAATCGTCTATGCCGATGACATACTCATCGTCGTAACGGGACGAACGACTAAACGGACCAGGAATATTGCCCAAGCAGCTGTCTCCGTCGTCAGCAGGTGGGCGCTTTCTATTGGTTTCCAGCTCTCCGCTCCAAAGAGTGTACGGTGCCATATCTGTCACTCGGGCCATCTGATTCGGGGACCACCGATCACCATCCAGGACCATCCAATTCCGCTTGAGAAAACAGTATGTGTTCTGGGAGTAGTTCTGGATTGGACTCTAAGTTTCGACCAGCACTTCAGATCGGTGAAAGAAAACTGTCGTAGCCGCATCAACATCGTCAGGACAATCTCCCGCCCGCACCGCTCCAGTAACCGCGAGATCCGCCTTCGTGTCGCCCGGGCTGTTATCGACAGTCGACTTTTCTACGGCATTGAAATTACCTGCTTAGCCACCGAGAAGCTGAACCGCATCCTCGCTTCGGTATACAATACCTACGTACGCATCGTATCCGGCCTTCTACCTTCCACGTCTGCAGACGCTGCTTGTGCGGAAATCGGAGTCCTCCCTTTCCGCTATCGATTTGCTGCAGCTACTGCTACGAAAGCCGCTGCCCTCGCTGCTAAGACATCCGGGAATGATAGGGTCTTTCTCCTCAACGAGGGGAACAGAGCCCTCCACACTGCAGCCAACCTTGACCTCCCCCCGGTGGCCAGGGTCCACTGGCATGGAGAGAAAAGTTGGCGATCTAACGTTATCAAAATAGATAAGCGGATTAAGAGAGGACTCCAAGCCGGAGATAACTCTGTAGCGTTGAGGCGTTCAGTTGCAGAACTTCTTGGGTCGGTGTATCCGGGGCACGTTCATCGCTTTACGGACGGATCGCAATCACGGGCTGGAGTGGGACTCGGAGTGACAGGACCAAACTCCGCAACAAGTCAAAGTCTACCGGAGGAGTGTTCCGTTTTTTTCCGCAGAAGCCGCTGGTATTCTTGATGCAGCCATCACTCCTGCAGATCAACCGATCCTTGTGCTAACGGACTCACACAGCGTCATCCAGGCGCTGGAAGCCGAAGCCCCGAGCCACCCCTGGATACAAGCCATTACACGATATGCCCCACCCTCAACCGCTTTTACATAGATTCCCGGACACTGCGGTGTTCCTGGAAATGAGGCTGCGGACAGGCTGGTGGGATCCGGTCCATCTGGTCCCCGCTTCACCAGGAACGTACCACTCCTAGACGTCAAGCGTTGGATCGCGAATATTATCATGGAAGCCTGGCAGGAGGAATGGTTTCAGTCGCGGACCACTTTCCTGAGAAAGATCACAGAAACCGTACGACCCTGGCTAGACAGCCACAAGTACAAGGACCAACGGATCATTTCAAGACTTCGGACCGGCCATGTGAGAATTTCCCACAATTTTGGTGGGACACCCTTCCACAAGGTTTGTCCAATCTGCAGCATCCCTGCCTCGGTGGAACACGTGCTGTGTGTCTGCCCAGAGTTTCAAAGGCTACGCGAACAACACCGACTCCCAGAGAACATCAGGGAGCTACTTGGCAACGACCCCTCGACGCTGACTGCGCTGATTGCTTTCTTGAAGGACGCCCACCTGTACAACCAAATCTAGCACTCTCGTCGTTGGGTGCGCTGTCCGTGTTCTTCCACCTTCCTATTTTCCTGCCGTCGGGGTATCTCTGCCGGACTGGGGCACTGTCTCTTACGGTGGAGCTCTACCTTGTTCGCGCATCCATTCCTCACCACAGTCCCGATGTAACCCCCATTTTACATTAAGTTTTTTTTTTTAAATGTTTTCTCAGAGCCAGTTTTACGTTATGTTAATGTTAAACTGAAACGTTTCCTTAGAGGCAGGCCCTAAGCCTGACCTTCTACTATCAAATGTGATGAACTAGCCTACGGCTAAAAATCACAAAAAAAGAAAAAAAGACATTATTGAAAATTGAATAACCAAATCCATTAA